TAGACTTCATTGGTTACCGATTCCACAGAGAATTGAATTTAAATTGCTAATAATGGTTTATAAATCACTACATGGTGTAGCACCGCAATATTTATCTGAACTAATTGAATGGCACACTCCAAAACGAAACCTTCGATCGGGATTTCAGTTTTTGGCAAAGGTGAAATCTGTTAAAGTACTGCGATCGGATGGTAAAAATTCTAAAGTAGCATTTAAACACCGTGCTTTTGAGAATATTGGTCCTCAGCTTTTCAACACTTTACCCCTTTATATTAGATCTTGTTCTACCATTGATGTTTTCAAGTCTCATTTGAAAACACATTTATTTAAAAAGAGATTTAATGTTTAACTTTCTGTAGGTCAGGCATATTCAACTTGTAGTTCAGCTTCATGAAACTTGATGTACAACTGTATATTCTTGCATTTTAAAAGCTCTTTATTTTAAATTTAAGACACATGATGTACTGTATATCCTTGCATTTTAATTGGTTTTTTTTTAAATCTCCAAGACACATGATGTACTGTAGTTTTTTTTTTCCGGCATTTTTAACCTTTTGATGTAAATTTTGATGGTTTGGTAGACTTGTCTTGTCTTTTTCTTTTACAAAATGCAAAAAAAATCAGTGTTTTATCGTTCTATTTTATTTCGCGTTTTCTTTTATTTCAATGTAGATTTTTGATGTGTTAAATGGTATTGTGATTTTGTGATGATTATTGGTTTCAAACATTTCTATTGGCTTTTAATGTATATTTCGTATATGTTTAAAGTGTATGTTGGTCTATGAATATTTTTAAATTCTGTACAGCGCAGATGAACATTTTTAATGGATATTGTTTTGCGCTTTATTAAATGAAGTTATTGTTATTATTAATGGCTCATATCTAATACACTGGGGTTTCTATATTTTACGACCATATTCCGCATTTCAAGGCTTGATATTGGATAAAAACGCAAAACAACCGCCAAAAACTACCGAAAATCTGTACCTGTTTCGCCATGTTTCGCGAGTCGCTTACGTCACATAAATAAATCCCCTCTGTTAATCTGTACCACAGTGCTCAGAATAATTAAAAAAAACATCGCACGTCAGGCCGTAAAAGAAACAGTCTGTCTCGCAGCTTCATTACCTAGGCCAGACTCCTTCTCTCCCCCCCCCCCTCCTCTCTCTCTCTCTCTCTCCCTGTCTCTCTCTGGAATCAGGGTCGATTTGGGCGACACTGAAGTTTAAATTTAGGGTCATGCCAGCTCCACAAATGAACGCCTCGAATCATAATGAAAACTTTCCCCCTATTTTCGACAAACATGAACGCACTAACCGCAGAAAAATCGAAATTCGTAGCTCTATTGGCCTAAAACGTGTGACGTCATTCATAGACAGGGTAAAAACAGTTCTGAATAAAAAAATTTAAAGAAAAAAAGGTCAATGGTTATTTAAGCAACCAGCATGGGACTTACATGGCAAGAAAGGTTAATTTATGAGCTACACTTGGCAGTCACCCCGAAGTTTAGCGACCTGTCGTTGCAGAGTTTTGTTAAGAAGCAGGAANAAAAAAAAAAAAAAAAAAAATTTTCCCTATGAAAAAGCATAAGAGGTAGTCAAATTTGAAAGAAAAATGATCACTCAATTTTGCATTAATTGTATTTAGATGATTATAAAGCTTTTAAGCAAACATGTAGCTTTACAATCCGATCACCACAGATTGTCAAATGAAACCATTCAAATTATATAGTCGATTTTGTGAGAAAAGGAGGTCCAGTTTTGACTCATTTACGTTTAGTGAGCAGATGTTTCCAAGTTTTCATTATGTTACGAAAACAAGTCTATGCTTATGTTGTTCCCCACCTCCATGTTTGAAAAATTCTGGATCCTCCCTGCATCAAACTGGACAAGAATTCCTCACAAGGACTATTCAGGAAAGACACTCATACAAAGACATTATCTACAAAGACTTCATTTAGAAAAATAATGACATGCTAACGACTTCCCATAACATTCAACAATATACATCACCACCGTTCCCCACTCATCCGACACGGTGCGGAGCACAGGTATATATGCTATTATTATTATTATTATTATTATTATTATTATTATTATTATTATTATTATTATTATTATTATTATTATTATTATTATTATTATTATTGTTATTGTTATTGTTAATGTTATTGTTATTATTATTATTATTATTATTATTATTAAATATTTCAATAAAATTGCTTTATTATTGTATTTTTTTAAAACTTCGATTAGACAATGAAGAAGCAGACCTATTATGATTTTAAAAATCAATGTAGTGTTTAATCATATGGGTTTATTATATTTATTAACATATTAATAGCGGAAGATTTCTCAAACATAATTTGAATTGAAATAATAGAAAATAACAGAACTAAATTTTTTTTTCAGAATAATGAATTGTTCACACTTTAAACAGTCGCTAATGATAAATTCATCTGGATCGCTGTTTATAATATTTGTAGATTATATTTTATCTTTTCGATGATCCAAGTATTAAAGCAAACTCCAACACGCTCCAACAAGAAATAATGTTAATGTTTAATTTAAAAGAGTTTCATCTCATTTTTTTGTCTATTTTTTTTTCTTTCCTTTTATACAGCCGCTCTCATATCCGGAAAGGGGTCCACAGAAATGAATAAATAAAATAAAAAATGAAAAACGCCATGGCACCATTCCTTACTAACTGGTAACCAGCACTATTACATTTTTTCTAGCCTTTTCTAACCTCTATAAGAGATTTGATCTCAGTGGTGTTTCCGATCCGTGTCCCTTTTTAGTATGTCGATATTAGCCTTCTTCAGATGTCAGTGAGTCTAGGGAGGGAATCATAGAGGGTTGTTCGAGACATAGGTCTGGGCATCCACTTAGATGTTGAGTTTTCACGAAACAATATTATTTCAAAAATATAATTTGTGTAATTATAATATGTATTTTGGACAAAAAAGAACACTGCATTTAATAAAAAAAAAAAAAAGACGGGAACATTTAATGTAAAAGCAGACAGGTTTCGAGAAAGTCAGTTACCATGCAGTAACAATTACAGTACAGTAACTTCGAGTATATTATGTAACAACTATATATGTATTTTCGTTTTGAAGATGAGCCAGACTGGGCCGATTTCTTTGCTATTTTTCTTGAGTATACAGGTTAGTAAACTTGTACTGAATTGGTATTCCGGAAAATACGTCATATATATATCTGTCTCTTATACACATCTATGATGTACTGTAGTTTTTTTTTTCCGGCAATAAATGGATAAAGACATTGTGCAATTAAATGCCTCTGGCGGGATTCGAACCTTCGACCTCTCGCTGTCAAGGCTTTATTCTAACACTGTATTTACCTTTCTTTGAGCTGCGCGGAGTGGGTTCACATTTTCTTTTTATATCAATTTCATACATTTTATTTTATTCTGGACAGATGAGAGCTCCTGGACAGTATCTTTCTAACTTTCCTCTTCTTACATTTGTCTACTTCTCTTTTTTTCCCCGACAATTTGCACCTTCAGCACGTTTTTATGTGAGTTTACAAGAAGCCCTGCAATGATCCTGCTCATCTCAATTCGCAGATGGCCAACAAGCTTATACACCACCACCACCACTAAATTCATCTGCTGTTGAAACTCCATGCTCTCTCTCTGGACAATTATCTTTTCTTCTTTTTTGCACCGGAACCATTCGTAATCTTCGGTATTCGGATGTCCTTATATAATTTTTTTTTCATTCTAAAATCGCCCATTGAATTTTCCAAGTTTCCAGAAGAACCTTCAATTTTCATATACTTCCATAAGCGCCCCCTCAATTTCCACTCTTTTTTCATAAGTGCCCCGTTTGAATAAGCGCCCTTCAAAAAGGGGGAAAAATATTTTTTATTCGCGTGAGTACTGTATACATGGGCGGTATATATTTATCCTCTTTGTTGACACAAATTACATAATTATTTGCCAAAAAAATACTTAATCCTCAATATATATTCAATAATAATTATACAATAAAATAAAGACACATAGCTGTATAAAAACTATTGGAAAACAATTTTTAAATACCCTAATTTCTATGGTTAATTTGATAATATGTATGTTGCTTCAGTATGAGCATTTGAATTTTAAAAAGTGATGTTTATGATGTTTTTTAGTATTATTCATGGAACAATACATCTTGAACTTTTTTTTGGGTTGCCGCCTAATTTACTTTCATGGAAAAGACTCACTAATGATGATGATGATGATGATAATGATGAGATTCCTGATCAAAATGTTAAACTCAGACTCATTCATAAAAATAATATGTACCCGTTTGGCTTTAATTTTAAATTGTAATTATATAATCATTGGTATTTGTCCAGATCATTGTCCACATGATGTTGTAGTGTTAGCGAATGTGACGTACACGTTCGAAGCTTCACCGGTTAATTTTTCGGCTAAGTCACTTGAAATGTGTGGTTCGGGAGAAAATAGTGAGTACAAAGTACTTGTATATGCACACATTATGGGTACATTAAAATATAATAGTAGGCCTAAAGAAAATGATAGATATTGGTAGCAGAAGTAACATCAAAATAATAAAGTAGCAGTAGGTACTACAGCGTTGATCAGATTTTCCTAACACCTTTCTAAGTAATGTAACAATTCAATAAAATCGTCGTTTGTGTTGTTTCACTAATTGAATACTTAGCATTTATGATAATATTAATACTTGACATGCCAATAGGAAATAGAAGCAACAGATTTCTACTTTCGTCAGATTGACGCGTTTCTTCACATCAAGGTGTGAAACCTGTTGCGTATAAGTACAGACTGTTAATATGTGTCCACCTCGTCCTATTACTTCATTCCTTTATTATAATTTTGCATAATCAGCAATGCTTGTTTAGGGATTAAAATCATTAATTTTATAAATTCGATTACCTGCATTACTTTGTTTAATTAAAATATAGGTCCTCGAGCAGTGCGCATGTGTAATTCTGACCCACCAGGAGTCTCAGTCTGGGGAGAAGTCACAATTGGAGTATGCAACATTCATGATATCAACGAGTTGACCCAGGTAATAACGTATAATAGAGGGCATTTCTAACTAAAATTGCTTTCATTTTTTATTTTAACATCTATTGATAATTGTAGTATTCTGTAAACAATTTCGACTCTCTTTCTAAAATAAAGAATAACAACAAACGGGTTTGCTTGAGACGTTCCATTGATATCCGCTAGCCTTAGCACAATAACAATTTATTGATAGTTTTACTGATAGAATAAGAAAATGTATAGACAGAATCGAAATCCACGCCATCGCGTCGGGATTCAATATTTTGACATTAATTATGTCATCATCAGGAATGATTCCTGATTATGGCATAAGTAATGTAGAAATATTGAATCCCGACACGATGGTGTGCATTTCGATACTTGGGGTATGTATTATACTATCTTATTTGAGATTAATCAAACCTTTTGGTATAGACAGAACATTGAAATATATGACCCGACTGCTGATTAATACATAATTAAAAAATAATACAGACTGTCTAGCATTAATTACAATTTGATATGTGAGCTAGCATCCGCTGTTTTGGGCATCTGGTACAAGCCCCTTTCCTGTCACAATCCGCTATCTGGTCTGTGTGGCCGATTTATAAAAAGTATCTTGGTCTCTAGAAGTAGGAGATTTAAATAATCAAAATAGCAATAAAAGGATGTGGTTACACGGACTGGACCATAAATAGAGTAAGAAAACTACGAAAACAAAAACAAAAAACAAAAAGTACGGACACGCTCTGCAAGTTTTCATAAATCGGCCATCACTGAGCATGGTGGATCTTCACCACAGCCCCAACTGGGAAGGCACTAAAAACAGAAGATGAACAGAGACGATGGGACATACATACTTCTCTGCATATATGACCAAGTCCTTCAACCTGAAAGGCCAGGGCCCTCCGGAACCAATCCTGACAGGAAAAACGCTGGCACCAAAGGGCGTTGTTCACATAATGTCCAAACAGTGCGGATGCCAGCCCAGCCTGCGAAATCTCGCAGTAAGATTGCATCCATTTAATTTATCAATGAAAACGCAATGAGGTAAACTAATTGATTAACATTTCTCGCATGAATCATTTCACGCAGGCGATTTCAGCTTGTGAAGGAGATCAAAAAAGGTTATATAACATTGTTAATGGTTTATTTGGTTCCAGAAGGGGGAAGAATGTGCTTCCTATCTATGATAACAGAGAAGATCTGTCTAATGTCTTTAGCAGGTTTTTCGTGGAGAAAATCGAAAACATCAACCACAAACTGAAATCGAATTTAACATCCAGTGAAGGCTACAATAATTTGCATCGTTTTTCCGGTGATACATGGACACTTTTAAACCAGCTACGATAGAGGAAATCATCACACCTATTATAACATCTTCATCTGCATTCTGTGATCTTGATCCTCTACCTACAAACATACTGAAAGAAGAAAAAATACTTCATATTTTGGCCTCGCCGATTACAGATATAATCAACGATTCGCTTAGTAATGAAATTGTACCTGATGAAATGAAACGTGCCCTGGTAAAACCTCTACTGAAAAAGGCTTCTCTGGATTTTAAAATATTAAACAACTATCGTCCTATATGTAATATTTCGTTTATTTCAAACATTTTGGAACGTGTTGTTGAATCCAGAATTAAAATGCATTTAAATTAAGTCTCCTTATATAAACAATTTCAATCGGCGTATCGCATGGCCCACAGTACGGAAACGGCTCTTTTTCGTGTGGCTAATGATATGTTATGTACCCCAAAGAATCTATTGCTCTTTTGTTATTAGATCTTTCGTCTGCTTTTGACAAGGTAAACCATAACGTTCTTATCAGTCGCCTGAAAACAAGTTTTGGGCTTAGCAGCACAGTTATCAATTGGTTTCAATCGTATCTAAGTAATCGTAAGCAATGTTATCATTGGTAACTCACTTTCTAAGCAATTGTCAGCAATAAACACTGGTGTCCCGCAAGGTTCTGTCTTGGGACCATTATTATTTTCTATGTACATGCACTCATTAGGCGAAATGATTAAACAACACGGTGTAAACTATCACTTTTATGCTGACGACACTCAAAATTGTTTATCTGATATTAAGAACTGGATGACTTGTAACTTCTTGCATTTAAATTCTTCGAAGACTGAGTTTTTAATGCTGTCATCTCAACAATTTCATAATAATTTAAGTTAAATTAATGAAATTAAGATAGGTGACGATTTAATTGAGATATCGTCTTGTACTTGAAACCTTGGGGTTGTGATTGATTCAAAACTTTCTAAAACCAATCACATTTCCAATATTTGTAGGTCGTCCTACTCTTATCTTAAAAGTATTAGCCGATATCTCTTTCTCAGTCTGGTACTGAAAAACTGGTGTACGGTAAGAATGGCCCCGGAAAAATGGCCCCGGAAAAAATGGCCCCGGAAATAAAGGCCCCGGAAAAATGGCCCCGGTAAAAATGGCCCCATATGACAGGTAGGTACAAATGGCCCCAATAATCAAATTCTGTATTAAAACTGATTTTCTTGATTCAATATATGCATTTTTTTATCTTAAATGATTTAGTTATTAAAAGGAATCTAACATCAAACAAATTGCCATTTACATTTTACTTTTTGCAAGAATTACCATTCAATGA